CTCCCATCTCCCCATCCTCGGGGACAGCCGGGACCGCTGTCCTCCCATCTCCCCTTCCCCGGGGACAGCCGGGACCGCTGTCCTCCCATCTCCCCTTCCCCAGGGACAGCCGGGACCGCTGTCCTCCCATCTCCCCATCCCCGGGGACAGCCGGGACCGCTGTCCTCCCATCTTCCCTTCCCCAGGGACAGCCGGGACCGCTGTCCTCCCATCTCCCATCTCCCCTTCCTCAGGGACAGCCGGGTGTCCTCAGGGATCCCTGTCCCATCTCCCCTTCCTCAGGGACACCCAGATCTCCTCAGGGATCCCTGTCCCATCTCCCCTTCCTCAGGGACACCTGGGTGTCCTCAGGGACCCCTGTCCCATCTTCCCTTCCTGAGGGATCCCTGTCCCATCTCCGCTGTCTCCGGGACACCCAGATCTCCTCAGGGATCCCTGTCCCATCTCCGCTGTCTCCGGGACACCCAGTCCCTCCCTCACACCACGAGTTTCATCTCAAGGCGATGCAGTTCCCACCAGAAAATAAATATATACCTTATTTTTCTACAAATCGCGTGGAATTGAGGCGACAGAACAGGACAGGAATGACAGAGAGGAGCGTTCCCATCACGGGGAGCTTGCCGGGGATGCTCGAGGTGGTGCTCGGGGCACAGCCCTTCTCCTCCTCCAGGTTTGGGGTTTTTTACAGCTTATTCCGTTTTTTTGAAAGTACAGGATCAGGCAGAAACTTCTGGGGAATGTTTGTGCTGGGCTGTAGATCCTGGAAGGAATGCATCACCTTACTGGAGAACTGAGGGATGGGATTTAAATCCAGCCCTGCGCTCCTGCTGCTGGTTCTGAATTCCCAGAACAAATCCTGGATTTTACTGGGCAGCTCCTGAGAGCCAGGGCTGAATTCCCAGTGTGAGGTGCCAAAGGCAGCACTGGATTCCACTGGATTTTTTCCAGAATCTGGAGATCTTCCACCACTCACCCTGTGCAACTCCTAAAACTGAGTCAGAGGGTGTAGTGTTAAATCTCCCCTTTCAAAAAAGATATTCCAAACCAAGCAGAATTAATTAATGCAGCCCTTGTATTACAGAGATCACTGGGTGCTGAGCATGGAAGTGCTTCTGGAATATTTAAGTTTTCCTGTGAAATTGCTACCAACACCTATGACAGGAATTCTCTGTCTTATTTTATACTCTCCAAAAGTGCTCCTTCTGTGTTTCCTGGGCACTTTGCATATGTCTACATGTAAATATTTCCATGTATGAACACCTGTGCCTGGCTGAAAAATAAGTGAATATTTGTGGGGAGGGAAAGGGGATTTTCCACCCTCTGTCTGCCACCTGCCTCCTGGTACAGGAAGGAAAGTAATTATAGATAAGTGAAATTGCTCTTTATTTCCTCAGTGCTGGCTGCTCTGGGAGCTCCCTGGAACCACTCTCTGCAGTTTATTTCCCCCTTTTTTTTTTTTTTTTTTTTTTGCACACTCTGTGAAAATAAGAGGAGAAATGCACTAAAAGTGGGCACTTCCTTCTTTCCTGTCCTCCCCTGGAAAAAAATGAAAAGAATTTCCTGGAAGGAATTTGCTGTGTTACTTGAAGGCAAGAGACAGAAATGTTTATATTGGGGTTGTTTTTTTTTTTAGGTTTGTCTGGTTTTTAATTATTTTTGAAAGTGGGATAATTTCTTATTATTGGATCTCATAAAATCAAGATAATTTTTTGGTAGGATTTAATAATGAGCATTGTAATTTAATACTAACTTTATTAGCCCACGAGCTGGTGAAACTGGTAATTGGAAACAGGACTGGGGAAGTCTCTTAGATGGGAAAGTTTCATTTTACCTGAACTTGAAAAATCTTTCTTTCCTGGCAACAAAATGCCAAACCTGCAATAACCCTTACCTTGCTGTTGGATGCAGATAATTTTTGTTGTCCTTTATTTTTTCTTCACTGAGGATCCTGTAGGAAACAGCAGCTCCTGGAGGTGTTGTCCTGCACTTTAAAATTCACTTTTGATAATGAAGAATTGGTTTGTGCCAGCTGAAGATCTCAGAATTTCAAGGGGAGCTTTTAGGAGCAGTTTCTCATCCCAAGCTGTGCTGGAAATCCTAATTTAGGAGTAGGGAAGTGAAGGGGAAAGGGAAAAGCCAGGTGACCTCATGCAACATTTGCTTAAATTGGGCTGGAAAATCTTATTTTTAAATATCCACGTGGACATTTCACAGCCTCACCTGGACACAAACAGTGCAGCACCACAGCTCTGCCCCCTAATATCAGAAATCAATTAAAAATGTTCTATTAATTTCCAACAGTCAGAGCCCCACTTTGGGTGGGAAAGGCAGAATCCATGGCAGGGGCAGCTCTGAATCCTTTTCCCAGCTTCTCCCTGCTCAGATCTGATCCCAGGGGGAAAATTCAGGTGGGAAACCAGAAGGGAAGAGATGGAAACCTCCTCAGGATGTGGGGAGAGAGGGATCCTCCCTTTCCCTGCCTGTGGGGAGTGAGGGAGGTGCAAACTGATTTAAACTGATTTAAACTGATTTAAACTGATTCCTTGGGGACCTGCAGTGAAGCTGCTCTGAAATTGCTGTTTCTGCCTAAAAAAAAAAATCTGTCAGGAAAAGTTGCAGTCATTTGGAGCCCAGAAGTAAAAGAATCCCATGACCCAGATATTGAGTGGAAAAATGAATTACTCACTTGTTTTCTTCTCTTTTTGGACACTTTTATCTTTGGCTGCTTCCCTGGGGGTTGCCAGACATCCCTGAGCTCTGCTCAGCTCAAACTCTGGGACTGGGTAATGGCATTTTGGGATGAGAGTGGGGAAAAATAGTGGAAATTAAAATTTTCCTTCGGTACTACAAAGACTTTTGTACAATTATTTCGTGCCAAATGGAGCTTCTCCCTTGTCCCTGCTGAGGTCAGGAAGCCTCAGGTGTTCACACCAGACCAAATATTTGTTTTAGCTCAGCACCCAGTGACCTCTTTAATACAAGGGCTGCATTAATTAATTCTGCTTGGTTTGGAATATCTTTTTTGAGAGGGGAGATTTAACACTACACCCCCTGACTCGGTTTTAGGAGTTGCACAGGATGAGTGGTGGAAGATCTGCAGATCCTGGAAAGGATCCAGTGGAATCCAGTGCTGCCTTTGGCACCTCACACTGGGAATTCAGCATTTGGAAGCTGTCTAGGCAGCAGTAGGAGGGTGGTAGCACCTACCAGCAGTACTGTGAGGGAATATCTGCCTCAAAAACCCCAGAAAAACAGAATTCTGTGCTCTTGGAAAAGCTGACTTCACCTGCAGGGCTGAGGAGATCCAGGAGTAATCCTGGGTCACTGTAAAAATCCCCAAATTCAATCAGATTAGGGGTGTTGTAAACCAGAGCAGTAACACCTCTTGGGTGGCTTTACAACCTTTAGAATCTTGGATTTAAATGTGGTTATTGCACGAGATGAGACCCTTCTAAACTTAATTTCATTGCAGTCACTCCCCCTTTGGTGATCCTGCATTTCACAAAGTCAGGTTTCACTACTCTGCCCACGTCCCATTGTCACTTTGAGGACAATATTTGAGGCAATACACAAGAAGAAAAGAAAGAAAATATCAAAAAATTCTGAGCTCATCCTCTGTTTCCTGCACCTCCTTCATGGTGAGATTTGGCTCCACACTGGACTTGCCTCATCTTAAAGCTCCAGGAGGGGATTTTATAAAAACAGAGTGACTGAAGCAGTTTTGAACCTGCCTTTTGCAGCTCTGTGTGGGTACCACAGGCAGGTGCTGAGCTGAGGATCTGCTGTGGGTGTGAAATTCCACTCACCTTTCACCATTAAAAATGTCCTGGCAAGAGTGTGCTGGGAACAGGAAGGCTCAGGATTTGATAAATAACACACAAAGAGTCCTGGAAACAGCCAGAATTGTGATTAAACACCAAGAAATACTAAAAATCGGTGATGTTGTACTCAAAACCAGGGAATTTCAGAGGGGACCTTCCCTCCTCAGAGCTCTGTGCAGCACATAAAGCTTTAATTCCACTGCTGGCTCCGTCTTCTCTCTTCCAGAACATCCCAGAGTCTGGCCACAAGTATTACCTGCAGTTCAGCACCGAGGACTACAGGACTGGGGTGAGTTCCTGCTCCTCCTCCTCACCCTGGGCATTACAGCAACTGCAGCAGCTCCAAAACCGGGACATTCGTGTCCTGAATGGATGTGCCACAATGGGAGGACCTTTCTGCTCCTCCCTGCCTGTCTCTGCTCCGAGCTCACCGGATCAGTGACAGGGTGACACTGTGGGCCCCATCACCCCTCTGTGCTCCCCATCACCCCTGGGTGGGTTCCACTACCCCTGTGTGCTCCCATTCCCCCTCTCTGCTCTCCCCATTCCCCCTCTCTCCTCTCCCCATTCCCTCTCTCTGCTCTCCCCATTCCCTCTCT